AGGGATCCGTTGGTAAAGAGCTTTGTTCCATCCTAACTCCGCTGACCGTTGGCCAAATGCGCCCCCCACCTTCAAAAGAGGTGCCGTGGAAACACCACTGGACACGCGAGGAAAAGGCCTGGCTGCGGCCCGGCACCCCCTGCGGTCTTCCTGGGTGTCCCTGTCACCACGGCCACCACAGCCTGGGTGTGGCCCTCAGCAGACTGTGCAGACAAACCTATCTTGGGATTTCCCAAAACCCTGAGAGGAGATGCAGGGCCGCTCTGCAGGGAAGGAGAGGGGCTCGCCCGTGGGCCCCGGGGCTCTCCGCGCTGCGCTGGGTGCCCATGGTTGTGTGATTCTCCGGGTGGCACTGTGGGCACGGCAGGGCTTCCACTGCGCCCCTTTCTGTCTTCTTCAGGTAGGTGGCTCTTGACGTGCTGCTGCGTCCTGGGCGAGGTCGCCGCACGCTGTCACACCTCCCCAGATCAGTGGGAACAGAGCTCCAGGCCTGGTCAGCCCCGGCCAGAGCCATCAGCTCCTAGTGCCTGGGGACACTGCCCTGCCCAGGCGCCCAGGCCTGGGCCTCGATGGAGCCCGGTGGAGGTGCTGACTCTGGCTTCTCTGCCACGCGCAGGCCCCTGGGCGACCGCTGCTTGAGCACAGCTGGGTCTCCTGCAGGGATCTGCCCTTGGTGTGGGCAGAGCAGGCACTTCTGGAATTGCAGGAGCACCAGCCCCGCCCTTGCACAGGGACAGGGCTGACCTGGGGAAGAGGGACTCAGGATCCACTCATTCCCTCAAGAGAGGACATGCGTAAGGCATGTCTCCAGGGGCCTCTCCCGGCGTGGTCCATGCTCAGGGCTGCTGGTGTCCGAGGTGCTGTATTCAGTGCCGAAGGAGGGTCCGCAGTTAGGAGGGAGGAGTGGAGGTAAGCTGTACCTTTGAGTTCAAATGCATTTTTTTTTTAAGGTACATATGCAGGGCAACAGAGCACATGCCTGTGGTCTCAGGCACACCTGAAAATCCAGGCGTGGGCAGCTTAGCGAGATCCTGTCTCAAGATCAAAAATAAAAAGGGCCGAGGATGTAGCTCCGTGGTACAGCAGCCCCAGGTTCAGCCCTCCGCAGCGTAAAAAATAAAATGAAATAAAATATTAATAATACATTCATACGCGCCCAGATGAAAACAGTGGTTCGTAATGCAGGGACGATCCTCGTTTTTAAGTGGTCTTTATTATACTTTGCTGGATTTCCAAATTTCCCACCATGGCAAGCTCTCCTTCTGCGATTAAAATGCTCAATGTTTTTGAGGTGTAACTTAAAGTACAATGCACCCCAGGCAGAGGCTCAGTTTCACAAGATGGAAAGAGAGGAGAGGCACAGTGGCAATGGTCTGCAATGTGACATGTGCCCTGGCCCCTAGGGCTGCAGGCTGAAAGCAGTTCAGATGGCAAATCCATGTTGTGTGTGTTTTAACCTGATTTTTAAAACCAGACCAAAAAAATAAAAAAAAGCTAACAAGATTTATGTTAATGCATATTTTAAATCCAAACACCATTTAGCTGTAAAATTTAATGGAAATTACTTAGAAACAAACAAACAATGCATCCTAATTTTAAGGGAACAATTCAGTGAATTTTGACAAAGTCGTCATGTGTGTATTTGCCACCAAGACCCCCATGGAGGACACTTCCCTCACCCTAGAAACTCCCTCCTCCCCTGGAAGCCATCTCCACCCCTGGTGACCACGGGTCAGCTTTTCGTCAATGCAGAGTTGTCTTTTTCTAGAACAGCCATTACATTTTAAGACAAGAATTTATTAAAATGTTGCCAGGAACACCAGAGAATAGCACCAAGAAAGAAACAAGAGACGCCCTCCCGGGACCACCTGACCACTCAACCACCTGACCCCCTCCCCCCGTCTCCATGGAAACACCGTGAGGGACAGAGGTACCTGATTCTCATATGAACCCTGGGAACTAGGTGCTCCTTTTGCCACTCCGCCACAACCCCTGCTGATTTCTGGGCTTGCTGGTGGCCTCTTTTTGGAGTAACAATCCATAAATTAGGAAAAAACAAAGGGTTTGGGTGATTAGTGAAGTCTCGGGATAGAACGTGTGTCCTGGAAGGTTCTGGATTCTGGCCTTGGCTCGGCTCTGCCTCATTCAGGTGCCCAAGGCCCTTCCTGCCACTCTGGCAGCTCTTGCTTTCTGAAAAGGGTTTTAGCAAATGTTCAGAAACTTCTCCAATTATGAAATAATTTTCAACCACAAGGAAGAGGCAGGGGGCATGGTAGGTTTGTGTGCTTAAGCGTGCACAGCTGACCCTGGAATCCAGATTGATTTCATAATGTAGACACCGGACACGAAGCTGTACACGATTTCCTTAGTTGCTGGGATGCAGGTTTAGAAAGGGTGAAAATCTCTCCTTTGCTATGATCAGAAAATAGCAACCTTCACATGCTCAGATGGAAGGACAGAAACCCAAGAAAAAGAATTTAGGGTTCAATAGGGCAGATTTAAACAAAAACAAAAACAAAAACAACCACCTTCCCACCTTCCCAGCTAGGGCTGGGGGCATAGCTCCGTGGTAGAGCACTTGCCTCCTATACATGAGGCCCTGGGTTCCACCCCCAGCACCAAAAAATAACAAAAAACAAACAAAACCTCTCAAATCAAACTAAAACTCTGAGCTGACATCATATCCAGAATTGAGCCAGGCAGAGGGGCCAGGGGGTGTGACTGGGACTCTGCTCACCATTGCCCCCACCACTGGGAGGATGGAATCTCACGGGGACAATGCCTGGCTCAGCGGAAGGGAGCAAATCACAGGCACCCTGAAAAAAAAAAACGAAAAAAAAAACAAAAAACCGAGTCATCTCAATGCAACACCAGGTGTGCTGGAGGGTCTGGGAGAGGGTCCTGCGCCCAGAGGCAGATCATGGCTCTCACCTAGAGAACCAGACAGGTGGCCACAGCGCCCTCTTCTGGCCAGTGAGGCCTTCCCTCCACCCACAGCCACGCAGGGGAGCCCGGTGGGTTGGAGTTCGGCAAACGCCCAGGGCTGGGAACCCCCACCACCTGTCTGTCCATCTGCTTGTGCCTCAGTTTCCTCTCACTAGCAGGATTCAGCACACACACTTTCAGAGCTGACCCTTAGGATGGGCCATCATTATCTTAGGTGGTGTGGCCTTGGGTCACTCTGCCACTTTCTGACACCCCATTTTCTACCTGTTCAATGACGGGGAGTACACGGGGGTCCTAGGGATTTGCTCAGGGAACAAGGACGGGGTATAGGAAGCTCTGGAGGCACTTCTCTGAGCGCCTCATGTCCACCTGCGTTCACAGGCAGCCTGAAAAAGATGGTCCCCAAAAGGGAGCAGAGAGACAGGGTGGAGCCAGATGCTGCCCCTCCGTGCCCCCCATCCCTATTTGGGGCGCCCCCCCCCATGCAGTAGCCGCCCTCCTCCTCAGCACCCGGCATTTATCACGGACTTAAAAAAAAACGAGAAAGCTGCAGGGGAGGTAATTAAGCTTAATAGGAGCCGCGGACGATTGAAAGCCACAGGGGGGAAGTAATTAGATTAACAGAAGCCAGGGCTTTCTGAACCAAGCGCACAGCGTGGGAGTCCCTGTCCCGAAAACCTCGGGATGGGGTCTTTTTGTAAAGGCTTTCCTGGTGACACTTCCTGCGCGCTCCGTCCTTGAGGCCAGGCACTGGCGGGGTATGAATGTGGCCTGCGCGCATTGCAATTCACCAGGCCGGCCTTTCTCCCGGTGCGTCTCCACGCTCGCCCGGGACGTCGCCTTTGCGATGGAGTTGGGGGCTTGGAGGAATAACAAGGAGAATCGGTGTTAAGCCAAAGCCCCTAGGAGGGTCCCTTTTTCCTTCCCCAGGACGCCCGTTCCTTTATTCGCGGGAACGGCTTCCTGAGAGGTGCCCGCCCAGACGACAGGCGCGCCCATCACTGCGCCTCACCCCTTCCCATCCGGTTAGGAGCTCCCGCCCTCCCTGACCATGCTGCTGTCCCTGGACCCCGCGCTCAGGCACCCAGAGGCCTGGTCACCAACATAATGCATCTTAAAACAGAGGCGAACGGGTCCCAGTCCTGCCTCCCTGCGCCTCGTGACCGCGACGAGCTGGGCAGGCGCAACCCCCCAGTCCCGCGGCTAGCCGGCCACCCAGCCCGAAAGCTGCCTTCACAGCTTCGAGCACCCTCCCAGGCCCCCTCCCCGCGGGCAGCCGCAGGGCGCGGAGGGGCTTGCAGCCGGCCCGCGCGACGCAGGCCGAAACTGAGCCTGAGGCGCCACCTAGTGTCCACCCCGTGCCGCGCGCTCCCATTATGCCTCCGCCGCGGGAGACAGCGCCGGCCCCCAGACCCCGGGCAAGTTCCAGGATGAAGGGGCTGGGGCCTGGGATCGCGAGAAGATAGAGCTGGCCGAGTGCGAGAAGGTCGAAACGGCAGGGGCAATGGACGACTGTGACAGCAGGATACACTCAGGGCTGGGGCGGTCGTGGGAGGGACGGAGTGTGGTGTTTTCATGGGAAGGGGCCCGAAAGCCGAGGCGCGGCTTCTCCAGACCGCGGGTGGAGGAGGAAGGCTCTGGGCCTGCCAATCTCTGGTCCCGGGGTTCCTGTCCCCCGCCCCTGCTGGGGCCCGGCACAAAGCGCATCCCCCAGGAGCTCGGGGCCTGGGGGAGGGGCAGTTGTCTACTTCACTGCTTAATAACCTGAACCCGCTCAGCCAAGAACGCCCGAGCTGCCGCGCCGCGGAGAGTCCTTCCAGGGACATTGTCGCCAAGCGTGGCCTCAACCTCCCGGAGATCCTAACGGCCTGGGCGGGGTCACCGGGGCCTGGAGTAGGAGGCGCGGCCCACCTGCGGGGCGGGGGAGGGGGCTGGGGCCCGAGGCGGGGTGGGAGTGGGTGTGTGCAGGGGGGAGGAGGCTGGAGGCAATCCCGATAAGAAAATCTCGGGTGTCCCTGGGACCTTAACCACAGGGCAGGTCGTCAGGAGTGCTATATAAGGCCCTAGGCCCTGAGTCGCCGAGCCGTCGGAGCAGGATCGTTGCGCGCCTGAGCGCGGGTAGCGCACGCCTCGCTCTCGGGCAACAGACACCCTGCCCCGACACAGCCAGCCCGGCAGCTCTTCCCGGTCGCCGCGAGCCCCCAGGAGGTGCCATGCGGAGCGCGCCGAGCGGATGTGCGTTAGCCCGCGCCCTGGTGCTGGCCAGCCTCTGGTTGGCAGTGGCCGGACGACCCCTGGCCCGGCGCTCCCTGGCTCTCTCCGACCAGGGGCCACACTTGTACTATGGCTGGGATCAGCCCATCCGCCTCCGGCACCTGTACGCCGCGGGCCCCTACGGCTTCTCCAACTGTTTCCTGCGCATCCGCCCCGACGGCGCCGTGGACTGCGAGGAGAAGCAGAGCGAGCATAGTAAGAGCCCGCCAGGTGCCCCCCACCCCGCGCCCCCGACCCACCGCCGAGTCCCTTCCCAGTGCGCCTCCTCCCCTGGCCTTCCTCAGCTCTTGGGGGTTCCCAGGAACTCCCAGAAACTCCAGTTTTCGGCGCCGTAGCGTTACCTTTCCTCCCTCGGTCCCCACACGGGCCCGACTGCACCCACGTGTTGCGGGTCCCGGAAGGATCTGGATATACCTTCTTGCTTCCCTTGTGCCCAGGTTTGCTGGAGATCAGGGCGGTCGCTCTGGAGACTGTGGCCATCAAGGACATAAACAGCGTCCGATACCTCTGCATGGGCGCCGACGGCAGGATACAGGGACTGGTAAGTGTCCCCACGCCACGGGATGCGCCGGGGTGCGCTGGATCAGAAGCTAGATTTTCTCGCCTCGGTCCAGACTCAAATGGAAGTCAATGGAGGGAAAGATTGAAAGAGCCGATCAAACTATTGTCTGATTTTTTTTTTTCCTACGGAAATTTATGGTCCCAGGCTGTAGCCACAGAAAGGGGAGGCCCGCCATGCAGTTCCCCTTGAGCCAAAGACCAGCCCAGCCGCACGAGGAAACCCCGTTTCGGCTCCTTTGATATTAAACAGGAAAACCCACCTCGACCTTTTCAGCTTGAGGCTTTGCATGTGTGGTCCAAACCTCTCTCTCTCTCTCTCTCTCTCTCTCTCTCTCTCTCTCTCTCTCTCTCTCTCTGTATAAAGAAAGAGAGAGTGGAGAGAGACTATCCCCAAATAACATCTTTTTTAAAAAATTATCAAGTTGGAAAGCAAAAAGCGCCTTGAGGACTGGCCAGGTCTCCTTTTAATTAATTTCTGTGCACCAGGAAAACAGTGCGCAAGGTGCCCACGCGGTTCAGGTGCTCTCCGTCCTGCAGGGCCTCCTACCCGCTCACCTGCAATGCAAATACTTTGGGGCATTTCGGGGGCTGGGGGCTGGGGGTTGGGGAAGGCTGGGAGGGCCCAGGTAACCTCTGAAGGCTTGGGGCTGGAAGCCAGCGAACGCTGGGGCTCGGGTCTGGGAACAAAGGCTGGAAGTTCAAAGGACCTAGCTCTTGCCCCTCCCGCGGCCGCACTGCGGAGCTGTGTGAGGTCCCGGAGGGCCCAGCGCCTCCCAAGCAGCCCGGCCCACTGGAAGGGGCAGGGGCAGGGACAGGGGCAGGGGCCAGAGAGGAAGCGCCAGGCTGCCTGTGGGGGATGCGTCTGCCCCAGGAAAAATGCTAATGGTGGCAGTGCTCAGCATTTTAGAGTCTCAAATTCGTTTTGTGGATCTGACGTCTATTTATTCCATTTATCTACTGAAAAGATGGGGGTGAGGGCAAAGGAAGGGGCACACAGTCTGCTTGCTGAAAGCAGACTCCCAAGGGCTCCAACCTGCCCTGGCCACTTTTGTTATGTTGACATTTACTGTGACACAGATGCAAGTGGGAGGGCCGCCCGGCCACCTCCATTCTGCACACTGGGGGTGCTGGTGGGAGCTTTCCCCCTAAAACCCTCCCTGCCTCTTTATTTGGTGAGCATAGCCTAGCCCAAACTGAGGATTGTGCTCTGCTCAATCTGCTTTTTTTCACCCCCTTTTAAGTAGAAATTCCACATTCTTCTAGAAACTCAAAATCGTTTCATTTTCTGCATGGAGAAAGTTTTCCCATTGTATTGGAATAGAATATTTCCCTTGTTTATTTGCAGTTTACATTTCTCAGAAACTCAACGCAATCAACTCGGATGTCTGGTGGCTTTGTCCCAGTGTGTCATTAGCCCCGGCAGGAGCAATGGATTCTTGCTATTAGACTCTTATCAGGGCCTTATCAGATGTCACTCACCCACCTGCAGTTCAGTGACCTTTGCAGACTAGGCACAGTCAGACTTGTGTTTTCTGAGCAGTCCTCCCTACTCCCAGCTTTAGGCTGTCCTCGCTGTCCCCAAGAGGTAATGACACTGAACAGTTTGGAACTTGGCACCTCACAACCCTGTGGACTAGGAGTGTTCTAAGACCTGGGACCAGGGACAGCTTCCTGCAGCACACATTTCCGGCCACCCGCTGGGTGCAGGCTCGGTCCTGGGCATGGGGGAGGGGGGCTGCGGATTATCTCCGTGTTCCTGGCAGGCTGCCTGGAAGGAGAAGGGGCCGGAGGGGCTGATGCTTCTGAAAACCATGTAACAGGCGGCCTCAAAATGGAAGGGGAGAGCGGGCAGATGCCTGGTCTGGGCCCCAGATGGGGCTTCGTGGAATGCTTCCGACCATCCTCGGAGATTTGATCAGATTCTCAAAGTCCCGTGGGATACAGTGAACTGTTTCAGAGTGAGGGCAGGGTTCTGTGGGCGTCATCACTCGGGACAAGGCTGAATTCAAACAGCAAAATGACTTCGTAGGAAATACTAAGGAGCTGTAAAAAGAGTATGTAATGAGTAGCTCTATGAAGGGTGTATGTAGCTATTAAGTGAATACGTAATATGTGCATATAGAAGCTGGGCGCCATGGCGCACCCTGTAATCCCAGCAGCTCGGGAGACTGAGGCAGGAGGATCACAAGTTCAAAGCCACTTAGCAAGGTCCTTAGCAACTTAGTGAGACCCTGTCTCTAAATAAAATACCAAAATAAAGGGCGGAGCTGGGTTAAGTGGTTCAGTGATTAAACACCTTGAGTTCAATCCCCGGAATCAAAAAGAAAAGAAAAGAATATATACAATATATGTGAAATATATGCCTGCGGTGTCTGTGTGTGTAATACGAGTTTAGCATATTAATATGTCTGTACTAGTATAATGTCTGTGTTCTCTATAACATAAAAGGTACTAAGTGTCGTCTATGAAACATAGTTGCAAGGAAGTGTACGTTAAGCAGACCAGTGATGTGCACACCCACTACTGGTAGCCTCCAGGGGCAGCTGGTGGCTGTGCGGGACAGGAAACAGCACGAGGTCCTCGTGTGTTGTTTCGGGGTCCCTCCCTCTGGTGCTCACTTGCTGTGTCTGTCCCCAGCCTCGGTACTCGGAGGAAGAGTGCACATTCAAGGAGGAGATCAGCTATGACGGCTACAACGTGTACCGGTCCCAGAAGTACCACCTTCCCGTGGTGCTCAGCAGTGCCAAGCAGCGGCAGCTGTACCAGAGCAAGGGCGTGGTTCCCCTGTCCTACTTCCTGCCCATGCTGCCCATGGCCTCTGCGGAGACCAGGGACCACTTGGAATCCGATGTGTTCTCTTTACCCCTGGAAACCGACAGCATGGACCCGTTTGGGATGGCCAGTGAAGTGGGCCTGAAAAGCCCCAGCTTCCAGAAGTAACCAGGGCTCCGACAGTGCCCGGTGACGATAACCCCGTGTCCCCCTGAGTGTAGCTTTAGGAAGGATGTTAGATGTTGTACATAATCTGTGCGTCTTGCATGGTGGCGCCGGTTTCTAGCAGATAGACTTGCCTGATCGTAGCATTGAAAGCCCCGCACCTGCCCACCTGCCCTCCGAGCCCCCCCCCCGCCCCCGTCCCTCAGCGCCGCGTGGCTCTGCTGACGGGGAGCCCACTGTCCCTCAACTCTGTGTGCCACACGGACTTCCATCCTCCTTTCTTGTTCTTTTTGGCAGATGGTGTCAGCTCTGTGCACCGTCTGGGGACCACGATGCGACCCCACACGAGAATCCATTCGGATCTTAACTCTGGAAGCTAGTTCCCTTTCCCCACGTGCCCCTGGCCAGAGCTGGTCAGACAGACTCAGGAGCAGGGGGAGCCAGCAGCCCCTCAGCAGCCCAGGAAATTTGGGAGCTCCCCTGAGGTCCTGGACAGAGGACTCCAGGGCTCGCTGCCCCGGGCAGCCAGGACGGCTCGCCTCCTGTCCGCCTTGTCCAGTAGCCAGCATCCTGCAGAGAGGTGCCTCTGAGCCAGAAGCAGGGCCTGTTCCCCCCGGGGCGGGGGGGCAAGCTGCCACCTCTGCCCCAGCTCAGAGGGATGGGCAGCAGAGATGGTTAGTCCCAGGGGTCCCGGGAGATGGCACCCCACAGTCTGCCCTCTGACGACACTCCAGCACCTCCCCTTGGGCTGTGGATGTCCACCCAGAAAGACCAAGGCGCTCACGGGTCACTCGTTCCATTTCCCTGGCTCTTGTACAACCCCTCGTCCCCAGTCATTGTGTGGACAAGCCACTGCCTCGTGGCGGCACCCACAGCTCCTCTGCCAACCCGAGGAAGGAAGGTTTGGAAGCCCCGAGTCTTGCCAACAAGCCGTGGAAGCGTGGGGAGGCTTGGCGCTCTGTCCCCAGCACTTAGTTTCCAGTGTGATATTTATGAGTAATTTATTTTTTTATTTTCTTACTTTATTTATACCCCCAAATTATATTTATGTACACGAGGTTTTGTTTTTATACATTAAAGCAGAGCTGGTTTGTATGTGTGCACTCTTTTATCTGAATTGAATGCTGGTCCCCTGAGGGGCAAGGGGAGGGGCTGCCCGGGGCAGGAGACCCCACTGGGCTCCCCCACGCCTGAAACTCCCCAGAACCCCTTCTCTGCTGGGGCACTAAAGGGGCCCTAAGTCGGGGCCCTTGGCCTAGTTGGCCTTGGGGCCGAGTGACCCTGGAGGGAGGACGTTCTTGAATGGGACAGGAGGGATCGCAGCATCCCTGTCCTACCGATGAGGTGCCAGCAACAGCCCCCTGGTTATGACAATATCTCCAGGAGTGACGCTCTCCCCTGGGGGCAGAGTCACCCCATGGAGAATCAATGGCCCAAGCAGACAGGACTCCTGCAGGATTTCTCTCTGCCCAGGATCAAGTCCGGAGGAATGGATGTGTGCTGCTGGTGCTCTGTGCCCGGGGGACCTGCCCTCTGGGCTGCTCCTGCCAGCTCTGATGCTGTGGCCCAGTGTGGCTCAGGCCAGGGCGGGGCCATCGTGGATCTGCTCAGGGGAGCCAAAGCCACTGCACCCTGGCAACCCCCCTGCACCCCTGGTGCCAGGATCAGGTCGCACTCCAGCTGCAAGGCAGCCTGGGAAAGCAAGTCCTAAGGGTCCGTTGCCCCGCCCAGGTGCCCTGCGGGCTCTGTTGGCAAGGAGACCGCAGAGGAGGTGGGGAGCCACGGAACAGGCCCACCCCCTGGAGGAGAGTAAGGGGGGCGCTGGACTGAGCTGGGCATGGGAAGCCCCGATTCTGTTAGTGGTAGCCAGAGCTGCCAGGGATTTGGAATAGTGGGGCAGTGAGGGAGGGGTGGCTGAGAGGTCTTAGTGTCCTGGACCTGCCCTGCCCCTGCACCTGACCAACGTGAAAAAATAACAGAACTGTACCTGTGGCTAAGATGTCACCCCTGGGGGGTCAGAGTGAAGGGCACCCAGGACCTCTGTCCTGTCCTACAACTGCCTGAGAATCTGTCATTAATTCAAGGACACAGCGGTACAAACTGCCCTCCAGTAGGTCCTTAAGACAGGCTCAAGGATGGCCTGCGGCGGGACCATGAATGTGGGTGGGGCAGCCTGGGGGCTCCGCAGATCTCAGCTCCCAGCTGCTCCCAGAGCAAATCAGTGACCTCCTCCTTCCTGTCTTCATCTGTAATCAGGAGGCAGACTACAGTCCGGAGTCCCGTGCCACTTGACCACGTGGATTGGAGATTTAGGTCCACAGGCTGGAAAATGCTGACCCAGCGTTCTCCATCCCTGGTTTTGCAGAGGAGAAAGTGCAGGACCAGAGAGGGGAAGGCGCTCAGGCAAAGCTGCACAGCCTGGAGGCAGCGTGCCCGGGTGGGGTGTGCCCAGGCCGAAGCAGAGATGAATCCCAGAGTCTGTTAACTTGCTGTGTTGCCTTGAGTAAGTCATATAACCTCTCTGGGTCCGCACCCTACTTCACACAAGATGCACAAAGTCTGCCTTGCAGGACTTGCGCAAGAGTCGCAAGAGTCTGATGGAACTGTGCCTGCAAGATGCCCAGTCAAAAGGGGGCCACCAACCACCAGCAGCCCTCGCCAGGGACACAGATTACCGTGAGCTCTTAGCTGGCTCACAACTCTGACCGCAGGTGAAGACACCTGGGAGAAGTTTCCACGGTGGATCCTGCTCTGGAGACTCTGGTGTAAGTGGACGGGGTGTGCCCTGACACAGGGGCCATTCAGAGCCCCTCACAGTTCCAATGTGCGGTCCAGGGCGAGGACCATGAAGGACCCGTGTGAAGCTCTCCCTTTGTGCTGGAGACACCACCGGCTTCAGGGAGAAATGGAGGAGGAGGCGCTGGGTGCTGGGCTCTGTGTGGAGTCTCCTCCTTTCCACACGTTCACAAGAAGACACGGTGGCTTTGTGCACTAACTTGTGCCAGAGTGTTGATGGCTGATACATTGTTGCCTGTCCTGGCAGCCAGGTCGCAGGGACTCTGTGGATGATGCTAGCGGGGTGCATCTCAGCACCCTCCCCGCCCCCGCATCTCTCCCGTGCAGGTGCCTCACCCTCAGCTGCTCACCCTGCTTCGTGCAGTGCTGCCACAAGCCTGTAAGCAAGAACGCCGCGTGCCCCGCGTGCCCCGCGTGCCCCTCAGTCTGGATTGCAGATAAACGATGCCTTTTTTGCCCCGTGTAAGTGGACTTGTTAGCACAATTGGCACATATTTATACTAAAAAATTGTTCGTTGTTGATCTAAAATTCAGACTTATCCAGATGCCGTGGGTGTTTTGTCTGACCCTAGCTTTGGATCCCCTAGATCCCCACCATTGGTGTGGGGTTGAATCACGACACAGGACCAGGGACAGACAGTGGTTGGACTGGACCAGTCTGTCCAGTGGCGAGGACGGGAACAGAGCAGAGCACCCAAGCGCCAGGCTCCGCTGGTGGCGGTGGGGGGGTGGGCGAGCGGAGGAGCCTCCCCATCTCGGGCCGGGGACGCACCCTGTCATCCCAGAGGCTCGGGAGGCTGAGGCAGGAGGATCCAGAGTTAAAGCCAGCCTCAGCAACAGCAACTATGCAACTCAGTGAGACCCTGTCTCTAAATAAATAGAAAACAGGGCAGGGATACGGCTCAGTGGTCGAGTGCCCCTGAGTTCAATCCCCAGTACCAAAGTGCTCCCGAGCCAGCAGGGACCTATCCTGTGATACAGACCCCGAGAGCCTGGACGAGGGCTCCCGCAATTGCCAGGGACAGAAAACCTGCTCCAAGTAGGAATGGAACTGGGACTAATGGCTCACATTGGCCAGGGGCTGCCCGGCTTTGAACGTGTTGTGTCCCTCTGGGGACACAGAGGACCTCAGGTGTCTTGCCCTCATGACAGGGGCTCCCACAGCGTGGGCTTATCTGCTGTCCACCAGTGGTCTCAGCAGAGATGACAGACCTTCTCCTTACGAGGTCCCAGAGCAGAGCTTCACAGCCCCTTGCTCATCCCAGCCCGGGGACAGGACGCTCTGTCCCTCCTCCAGCCTCCAGGGACTCTGGGACTTTGAAAGGAGGAGGTAAGGGGCACCCAGGGACAGAGAGTCCCTCTGGGATCCTGCTTTCCCTCCTCACCAGCGCCTGGAGAGACGTCCCTCTTTTGATTAGGAGAGGAAAGCTGGGAATTCTTTAAAAGACCAGAAAGAAGGAGGAGCGGTCAGGATAGGCCCGCGGCCCAGAAGGCACTGTCCCTCGATGGAGGGCGGGAGAGGAGAGCGTGCTGCTGGCTGGGGCTCTGGCACTCGGAGCATGTATTTGGTCTTCACCCCCATTTCCCCGGCACACACTCCTGGAATCCTGGAATCCCGGAGTAAGCCTGTCTTCTGGGTGCTAACAAGTCCACTCTGCCGAAGCCCCTGGTGGCTTCAGGATGGGGCCTGTCACCCTGTCACCGAAAAGACCAGGGCAGGATTAGCCCACCCCACTCCCCAACTCCCTCTGGGGAGGGCCTGAAGGTCGATTCCATCACCAGGGCCCAGGAGGTGACCAATGACTCCTAAAGTAGCGGAGCCAGCCTTCCACCCGAAAGGACAGGGTCAGACATAAACTTCTGGAATGGGGGGCCGCCCACTCGCCCCATGTCCCTCTCCATCCATAGCCGGGGCAAAGTCTCTGACATAACATCAATGTGAGTGTCCCCCAAGCCCTGTGGCCTCTGGAGCGCAGGAATCAAACCCAAGGCGCTGTGGGACCCCGGCTGCAGGCGTCCAGCAAACCCTGCGGCTCCCACGGGAGAAGACTGGGGGCTGAGCCTACCCCATCTCCGCCACACCACGAGGGCAGGCTGCTGCGCACCTGCTGGCCTTCCTGGTGGGGGGAGTCCCCGCATTTTGGGACCACAGAAGTTGGGAGCGGCATCAGGAGACACAGGCTGAGACGGGGTCCTTACAGACACTCGGACTCCCCGGCCATGATCGAGGCCACCCCAAGGGAAGCCCAGGCTGAGGAGGGTGCTGGACGGAGGTGCCCGGCTCCACGGAGGGAAGGGCGCGCTGGAGCTCCAGATCCCAGTGCCCCACTCAGTGGTCTCAAGAGGACTCCCTGTGGCCTGCTGAGGCACCTTCACCACCGCTGCCTTAAAGTCCTTGTCAGATAAATCGGTCGCCCGTCTGATTCACTCGGGTGGCCTACCTGGATGGCATAGACCTGCGTTCTCTTCTCTTCTCTCTTCTCTTTCCCCTTCTTCCCTCAATTTCTCTATCTCTCTCTCTCTCTCTCCCCGCCACCCCCTTCCCCTCCCCTCCCCCTTCCCCTCCCCTCCCCTCCCTGGAATGGAACCCAGGGGCTCTCAACCATGGAGCCACATTCCCCGCCCTTTTTATTTTTATTTGGAGACAGGGTCTTGTTAAGTTGCTTAGGGCCTCACTAAATTGAGGAGGCCGGCTTTCAACCCCTGGTCCTCACGCGCCAGCCTCCCGAGGCGCTGGGATTACAGATGTGTACCACCATGGACACACGGATTTCTTTTCTTTCTTTTTTTAAAAAAATGATATTCTTCCTGGGGGCTGGGGTCGTGGTTCAGAGGTGGAGCGCTTGCTAGCACGCAGGAGGCCCTGGGTTCGATCCTCAGCACCACGTAAAAATAAAGATTTTGTGTCCAACTACAACTAAAAAACTAAATATTAAACAAAATAATAGTAACATTCTTCCTTCCCTTCTTCCTCCCTGCCTTCCCTCCCTGCCTTCCCCCTCTCCCGTCTCCCTTGCTAACTTGATGCTGGGCCACTTGGCTTTACCTTCTGTCATCGCTGGCTGAAGGGAGAATGTGGCTCCCCCTCCCCTGGTCCTGCAGCCCCTGGTCTGGGTGCCTCGGTCCTGCCCGCCCAAGCTTGGCCTCCGTGTCCCCACAGAGGGGTTGGAAAGCGTGACATCTAAGGGACACCGCAACGAAGCCACGAAGGCGCCGCCTTGGGTGTCTAGCTCAGCAAATCAGCTGTGAAAATGTAAGTGTTTTTAATTATCGCTGGTGCTGGGGAGGGAACCCAGACTTCGGGCATTTGGAAAACTAGCTTTACCGGCTTCACCAGCTTCACCGCTGAGTTACTCCCCAGCCAAAAGATTTTTTTTTTTTTTTAACCATCAAAATAAATGGAGGATGAGAGGGGGATCTGGCGTGGCGCCTGTCACCTGAGACCGTGTCCTGTGTCTCCTAATGCCGCTCACAATGTGACAGGGTCCATCGCCAGGGCTGATTCGGCTGACCTGGCTGGCTAGGTGGGGGTCCCTTTGCTCCCTCACCGCTCCAAGTGTGGCCCTCCCGAAGCTGCGTGCTCCATCCAAGAGGACGACCTTCCCGATAGAGGAGGTCCCAGTGGTTCCAGTGGTCGTGCAGGGCCCAGGCTGGCGGTCCACCAATCAGCACAAAATCACCCCAAATTTCCAGGCACTGGGTGGAGAGCAGGTCCCACTCCGGGATCCTGTTTTCTTCTCCGTATTCGTTACAGACAATTCAACACCGCGGCGCCTCCCGGCATCGCATCGACCGTGCCCTGCTGACGTTCAGTGGCCCTCCGCGGCGGCTGGATCATTTCACCTGTAAATATTTCACCAGGTTCGCGAGCAGATGAAGCTTTGATTTTTAAACATAACGAAACGTGGTTCCTCCCAGCAAACTCACATCAGTACCCGGTGCTCAGCGCCTCCCGTTTATGTTGAGAGCGCGTTTGGAGGTTCTAGCGGAGAACCCGGCTCCTCTGTACCCCTGACCGAAGGACCACTGGGAGTTGGCAACCGGGAGAACCCGGCAGCCAAGAAATATTTTTGCAAATTAATAAACATTCTAAATGGAATAAGTTCTGGATACACTGTCCACGTCAGGTCGTGGAAGGGAAGGAGGCCACGTGCCCAGGTCCAGGCACACAGTGGGGGCTTTGTGAACCGGACTAGTGTGCACTGGGTACTCTTTGCTTCCTGGGGGCTGGTCTGCAGCAGTGGGTGGGTCCGGGTCACCAGCAGACCAGGCTGGTGGATGCGCAGCAGCTGGGTTGGCGCCCGACATTTCCGTGGCTTCCCAGTCCCGACCTCACCCTGTAAGGGGCGCCTTCCTGAAGCTCAGGACCCGCGGGCTCGCGCGCCCGTTCCGTGAGCCTCCACCCGGTGGCGCCTTTGCAGTGTGGACAGGTCCTCTCGGGCCACCCCCCCACAGCGCTTTGGTGCTGGAACCTTCTTCTGAGCCTCCGTTGGCCCCAAGCAGACCCCAGGAATGACCCTCAGGACCTGTGTTGTGTCGGACCCTATTCTTGGATGATAATTCTCAAAACCACTGATTTGGAGATGGACATTGTTGGCATCACTCAGGGGAAGGTACTGAGACTCCAAGGGCCTCCTAAAGGGCACGTGTCCAAGCCAGCCCCATACCTGGCCACTGCACGCTGCTCTGCCAACCTCAGTTACAACCCCCTCCTCTCTACTGGCCCAGCTGGGACAGGCAGCGGGTCCCCACGTGGGCCTCCCGTTTCCCACCTGGTTGGATTTACAGGCACGTTGGCTAGGGCTGTCATGACCAGATGCCACAGGCTGGGCGCTCAGACCTCAGGGGTCACCCCCTCACAGAGGCCAGAAGGCCCAGGTGGAGGCCAGCTCCTCCCAGGTTCTCCTTGCTGCCGGGTGGCTTCTTCTCCGTGTCCTCACACGCCTGGTCTCTGTGTCTCAGAAAGCCGTCAGTCTTGCTGGTTACAGCGCGTGGCCTCCGTGGCCTCCCGTGGCCTCCCGTGGCCTTCATTACCTCCTAAAGTCCGTCTTCTGGCCGTTCTGAGGTGCAGGGGGCGGGGTTTCTGCTCTGCAGGAATGGGGGACATACTTCACTCACGCTGGGGCCGTACCCAGGACCTGGGTGTGCTGAGAACACTCCACACCACTCCTCCCCGAAGGCCCGGCACCCCAGCTCCCAGGTAGGGTTTTTATTTTGGGGGGTGTCGGGGGAGACAGAACCAGGAACTGAATGAAGCAAAGGGTCAGGCAAACGTCCTCTCAGGCCCCTCTGGGGTCCTCCCTCCCTTGTCCCCAGAGGCTCCAGTCACCTGCTTCCTGGACTCCCCTCCAGCCACGTTCCCCGTGTGTGGTCCAGAAGTGCTGGGGCGGGTGTGAGCATGTGTGCACGCGCGTAGCTGTGAATGCAGCTGTGAACTGCGCTGAGAACTGCGCTGGGAACTGCGCCGCAGGGTGGATGTGGGAGGCGGAGGCGCAGTGACAGCCAGCCCCAACCCTCCAGGACTTGAGATGACCTGACATTCTTCCTCGCCCTACGCCCACCCCTGCGTCCCGTGGTCCCAGCGGTCCTGCAGGGCCCAGGCTGGCGGTCCACCAATCAGCACAAAATCACCCGAAATTTCCAGGCACTGGGTGGAGAGCAGGTACCACACCGGGGTCTTGGTTTCTTCTCCGTATTCGTTAGAGACAATTCAACGCGCTGCCGTGGACCATCACCGTGGCGCCTCCGGGCCCGCATCGACCGTGCCCTGCTGACGTTCAGTGGCCCTCCGCGGCGGCTGGATCATTTCACCTGTAAATATTTCATCTGTAAATATTTCACCAGGTTCGCAAGCAGATGAAGCTTTGATTTTCAAACATAACGAAACGTGGTTCCTCCCAGCAAACTCGCATCAGTACCCGGTGCTCAGCGCCTCCCGTGTATCTTTTTTTTTTTAATTTTTTAATATTTATTTTTTAGTATTTGGCGGACACAACATCTTTGTTTGTATGTGGTGCTGAGGATCGAACCTAGGCCACACGCATGCCAGGCGAGCGCGCTACTGCTTGAGCCACATCCCCAGCCCCTCCCGTTTATCTTGAGAGCGCGTTTGGAGGTTTTAGCGGAGAACACGGCTCCTCTGTACCCCTGACCGAAGGACCACTGGGAATTTGCTGGGAGGAACCACGTTTCGTTATGTTTGAAAATCAAAACTTCATCTGCTTGCGAACCTGGTGAAATATTTACAGGTGAAATGATCCAGTCACCGCGGAGGGCCACTGAACGTCAGCAGGGCACGGTCGATGCGGGCCCGGAGGCGCCACGGTGATGGTCCACGGCAGCACGTTGAATTGTCTCTAACGAATACGGAGAAGAAACCAAGACCCCGGTGTGGTACCTGCTCTCCACCCAGTGCCTGGAAATTTCGGGTGATTTTGTGCTGATTGGTGGACCGCCAGCCTGGGCCCTGCAGGACCGCTGGGACCACGGGACGCAGGGGTGGGGCGTAGGGCGAGGAAGAATGTCAGGTCATCTCAAGTCCTGGAGGGTTGGGGCTGGCTGTCACTGCGCCTCCGCCTCCCACATCCACCCTGCGGCGCAGTTCCCAGCTGCATTCACAGCTACGCAAGTGCACACATGCTCACACCCGCCCCAGCACTTCTGGACCACACACGGGGAACGTGGCTGGAGGGGAGTCCAGGAAGCAGGTGACTGGAGCCTCTGGGGACAAGGGAGGGAGGACCCCAGAGGGGCCTGAGAGGACATTTGCCTGACCCTTTGCTTCATTCAGTTCCTGGTTCTGTCTCCCCCGACACCCCCCAAAATAAAAACCCTACCTGGGAGCTGGGGTGCCGGGCCTTGGGGAGGAGTGGTGTGGAGAGTTCTCAGCACACCCAGGTCCTGGGTACGGCCCCAGCGTGAGTGAAGTATGTCCCCCATTCCTGCAGAGCAGAAACCCCGCCCCCTGCACCTCAGAACGGCCAGAAGACGGACTTTAGGAGGTAATGAAGGCCACGGGAGGCCACGGGAGGCCACGGAGGCCACGCGCTGTAACCAGCAAGACTGACGGCTTTCTGAGACACAGAGACCAGGCGTGTGAGGACACGGAGAAGAAGCCACCTGGCAGCAAGGAGAACCTGGGAGGAGCTGGCCTCCACCTGGGCCTTCTGGCCTCTGTGAGGGGGTGACCCCTGAGGTCTGAGGGCCCAGCCTGTGGCATCTGGTCATGACAGCCCTAGCCAACGTGCCTGTAAATCCAACCAGGTGGGAAACGGGAGGCCCACGTGGGGACCCGCTGCCTGTCCCAGCTGGGCCAGTAGAGAGGAGGGGGTTGTAACTGAGGTTGGCAGAGCAGCGTGCAGTGGCCAGGTATGGGGCTGGCTTGGACACGTGCCCTTTAGGAGGCCCTTGGAGTCTCAGTACCTTCCCCTGAGTGATGCCAACAATGTCCATCTCCAAATCAGTGGTTTTGAGAATTATCATCCAAGAATAGGGTCCGACACAACACAGGTCCTGAGGGTCATTCCTGGGGTCTGCTTGGGGCCAACGGAGGCTCAGAAGAAGGTTCCAGCACCAAAGCGCTGTGGGGGGGTGGCCCGAGAGGACCTGTCCACACTGCAAAGGCGCCACCGGGTGGAGGCTCACGGAACGGGCGCGCGAGCCCGCGGGTCCTGAGCTTCAGGAAGGCGCCCCTTACAGGGTGAGGTCGGGACTGGGAAGCCACGGAAATGTCGGGCGCCAACCCAGCTGCTGCGCATCCACCAGCCTGGTCTGCTGGTGACCCGGACCCACCCACTGCTGCAGACCAGCCCCCAGGAAGCAAAGAGTACCCAGTGCACACTAGTCCGGTTCACAAAGCCCCCACTGTGTGCCTGGACCTGGGCACGTGGCCTCCTTCCCTTCCACGACCTGACGTGGACAGTGTATCCAGAACTTATTCCATTTAGAATGTTTATTAATTTGCAAAAATATTTCTTGGCTGCCGGGTTCTCCCGGTTGCCAACTCCCAGTGGTCCTTCGGTCAGGGGTACAGAGGAGCCGGGTTCTCCGCTAGAACCTCCAAACGCGCTCTCAACATAAACGGGAGGCGCTGAGCACCGGGTACTGATGTGAGTTTGCTGGGAGGAACCACGTTTCGTTATGTTTAAAAATCAAAGCTTCATCTGCTCGCGAACCTGGTGAAATATTTACAGGTGAAATGATCCAGCCGCCGCGGAGGGCCACTGAACGTCAGCAGGGCACGGTCGATGCGATGCCGGGAGGCGCCGCGGTGTTGAATTGTCTGTAACGAATACGGAGAAGAAAACAGGATCCCGGAGTGGGACCTGCTCTCCACCCAGTGCCTGGAAATTTGGGGTGATTTTGTGCTGATTGGTGGACCGCCAGCCTGGGCCCTGCACGACCACTGGAACCACTGGGACCTCCTCTATCGGGAAGGTCGTCCTCTTGGATGGAGCACGCAGCTTCGGGAGGGCCACACTTGGAGCGGTGAGGGAGCAAAGGGACCCCCACCTAGCCAGCCAGGTCAGCCGAATCAGCCCTGGCGATGGACCCTGTCACATTGTGAGCGGCATTAGGAGACACAGGACACGGTCTCAGGTGACAGGCGCCACGCCAGATCCCCCTCTCATCCTCCATTTATTTTGATGGTTAAAAAAAAAAAAAAATCTTTTGGCTGGGGAGTAACTCAGCGGTGAAGCTGGTGAAGCCGGTAAAGCTAGTTTTCCAAATGCCCGAAGTCTGGGTTCCCTCCCCAGCACCAGCGATAATTAAAAACACTTACATTTTCACAGCTGATTTGCTGAGCTAGACACCCAAGGCGGCGCCTTCGTGGCTTCGTTGCGGTGTCCCTTAGATGTCACGCTTTCCAACCCCTCTGTGGGGACACGGAGGCCAAGCTTGGGCGGGCAGGACCGAGGCACCCAGACCAGGGGCTGCAGGACCAGGGGAGGGGGAGCCACATTCTCCCTTCAGCCAGCGATGACAGAAGGTAAAGCCAAGTGGCCCAGCATCAAGTTAGCAAGGGAGACGGGAGAGGGGGAAGGCAGGGAGGGGGAAGGCAGGGAGGGGGAAGGCAGGGAGGAAGAATGTTACTATTATTTTGTTTAATATTTAGTTTTTTAGTTGTAGTTGGACACAAAATCTTTATTTTTACATGGTGCTGAGGATCGAACCCAGGGCCTCCGGTGTGCTAGCAAGCGCTCCACCTCTGAACCACGACCCCAGCCCCCAGGAAGAATATCATTTTTTTAAAAAAAGAAAGAAAAGAAATCCGTGTGTCCGCGGTGCTGCACGTCTGTAATCCCAGCGTGTGAGGACTGAGTTGAAAGCCGGCCTCCTCAACCGAGTGAGGATCTAATCAACTTAACAAGACCCTGTCTCCAAATAAAAATAAAAAGGGCGGGGAATGCAGCTCAGTGGTTGAGCGCCCCAGGGTTCCATTCCAGGGAGGGGAGGGGAGGGGAGGGGAAGGGGGAGGGGGACGGGGAGGGGAGGCAGTGCAGACTAGTCTGGTTCACAAAGCCCCCACTGTGTGCCTGGACTTGGGCACGTGGGCTCCTTCCCTTCCACGACCTGACGTGGACAGTGTATGCAGAACTCATTCCATTTAGAATGCTTATTAATTTGCAAAAATATTTCTTGGCTGCCGGGTTCTCCCGGTTGCCAGGGGAAGTGGGTACCAGCAACCTGGGTGGTGAGGCTGCCCTGCTCCCCGTCACCGCCTGGGCCCTGGGGCCTCAGACGCAGGCTGGGTCTGCCGGGGATCATGGGGCCTGGAAGGAGCCACTGCCTGGCTTCTGGAGGGGGACACTGGCGCGCCGGGAGGGGTGGGGAGGGGAGCAGCTCCCGGCTCCTCTCTGCAGGAAATCCTGCTCCACGGGGGTGGGGAGAGCGCAGCTGGCGCAGGTGTGGAGAGCTGTGAGGAGGCCCAGGCAGGGGGAGGCCACAGCCGGGGGAAAGTGGACACCAGAGGCCCAGAGCTGAGAGCCGTCTGCAGAGGGGGTGTCAGTCACGGGTCATGGGTGGGTCCTTGTCATGCCGCCCTCCCCCCATGCAGGATGAGGCCCCGCGGGCAGGATGCGGGCAGGATGAGGCCTCCGGATGGAACAGAGCCGACCCGCCCACTCCCCCCCTGGCTGGATGGCCCCGTCCACTCCGCCCACCATTTCTTCCTTTGTCTCTACTTCAGCTCTGAGTCTGGGGCTGGTTTGGGTAAAGAAAGGAAAGAAAGCAGCTGCTTACCTGGCTAGCCCGATGCTGTGGCCAGCGCTGGCGCTGGGCCTCTGGCCCGCTCACCTCCCAAGGCCCTGAGGTGACCCACACTGCCTTCCTATTTGATCATTCAACGACTGTTTGTCGAGTGCCCACTGCGTGCTAGATCCTGTGCAGAGTAAGTTCTGCTGACATTGAAATTGTTACGTATTATTTAAGTTTTTCAAAATTTAGCAAGTTAAAAAAAAATCGTCTTCCACTGTTTTTGGTAGGATGTGCTTAGGACACCTCTCTTGGGTGGATGGTGTTTTGCTGAGTTGGGCAGGGACAGGTGAGACACATCCCATCACTTTTATTCCAAGGGCAGATAACAACTCCCTCATCTTGTTTCTCTCTAAATTGGAGAAACTGTATGGTCCTAGAATTAAGGAAAATTTCAGATAGTGCAAAAGCACTTGGCCCAGCCAGAGGTGACCCGGAATTATATGGACTCCTCCATTCCCCCTGGGGTCTGGTGAGGGCCAGTGACTAGCCCCAGACCACAGGCAATTAGGAGAGTGTGACCCTTCTTTCTCTCTTTCTTTCCTCAGCCACTGGGGCCTTGCTTCTACAAGGTGAAGGACAGCTGCTCAACCTGTGGCTGATTTTGTGTGTGGGAAATGGCTCTTCCTGGTTCCCACTGGGATGCGAGGGCTCGTTTGTTTCTGCAGCACAACCAGCCTAACCTGACTGATACAAGGATGGACAGTGAACAGTCTGTCTCCCTCAGCCTTCCAGTCCCTCCCAGTGGAAGCTCCATTGACAGATCCTTGGGCCACTTTCCTAAAATCCCCTCTGCTTTTATGTTAGCATGGACACCCTGAGACAGCCCAGATGAGGAATTCTGGTGGAAGTTGCTGGGTTTTCCCCTTCGGCTTTTGGAACCAGGGCTCTATCCCTGTGGATACGGCAGAGAGGAAAACAGACCATGAGGAGCTGAAGGCTGGGGTCACACAGGCTGGCCAAACCTCAGGTCTTGTCCCCCATGGACGGCCAGGCCTATGCCATCCCTGCTGCCTGGGGGTGGGCAGGACCCTCCTGCAGCCAGGCAGGTGCTTATGCTCGCTGGCCACAGCCACAGACCCCCAAGCCCCATTCCCGGCCTCCTGCTCTGTGGCTGCCAGAGGTTCCCCAGTGGGCAGGTAGAAGGTGGCACTTCTGGGTACCTCCTTTTAGGGAAGGAACAGGGAGGAAGTTCAGCCAGAAAGCTCAAGCATGTCTTCTCCCTTGAATCCCCTTCCCACCGCCCCATGGGTCAAACCTGGGCCCCCAAATGGCCTCTTTTCCAGCTGTGTTGTCCTTGTTTATAATGAACATAGGAGATGTATGGCCCTAAGGTGAATTGTCATCTGACGACTTCCTTTTAAGAATTTAAACAGGCCTGGCGCACGCCTGTCATCCCAGTGGCTTGGGAGGCTGAGGCAGGAGGATCATGAGTTTAAACTAGCCTCAGCAACTTAGCCAGGCCCTAAGCAACTCAGTGAAACCCTGTCTCTAAATAAAACATAAAAAGGGCTGAGGACACGGCTCAGCTCAGTGGTTAAGTGCCCCTGAGTTCAATCCCCCATACCCCCCCCCAAAAAAAAGAGAGAATTTAAAATGGCTTCCCCCTTGAAGAAAGGTCTGCGAGCTTCATGCAAAAGTAACAGACAAAAAGAGCCGGGGCAGAAACAGGTAAGGGAAAAACAGACCCCTGCCCAGGCCACCTCCCACACAGGCTGCTGTGGCTCAGGACCCCTCCTTGAAGGTTGCTTCTCTACATCTGTGAACACCTGTGGGCGTGCCCAGGTCCCTCTGGAAGCAGATCAGGAGTGGATGCATTTAGTTCAGCGCTTGCTCCTCCGCCCCCATCCAGGGCACTGCTGCTGCAGTCTGCCTCTGGGTCAGCTGACTCACTCTTGCAAGCCTCTGCTGTTTTGCTCCAGAGCTCGGCTTCTAACAAGTCAGTACCTGTTCCTGGACCCTTTTCAAGATTGAACTTGGGATGGATTTGGTTTTTTCACTTCAGGTATGTTGACCTGGTTTGTCTCTTGAATTTTTTCCCTTTGGAAAAAAAAAATGTGTTTTATCTTAGTGTGGTGGGTTTCTGGGAATCCATTACGCCATCCCCTTTATACCTTTGGTTAAAAAACTAAATATTTTATGATGGTGTTCCTTTTCTGCGGTGCCGGGGATTGAACCCAGCACCTCGTGCATACCAGGCAAAATGCTCTGCCACTGAGCCACAGCCCAGACTGCTGCCAGGCAGACACAGAATCAGTGTAACTTCCAGGGAAATGAAAACCAGCCTAGAAAAGTCCACGCTCTCAGAAGCTCTCCAGAGTTTTCCCTGCACCAATACTAGATCATTGATACCACAAATCTATCACATTCTCAGGTGAAAATCCAGCTTGTAAGATACACACAGGCAAACATCGCGTGTGTTTCCCAAAACCTGTCAAAGCAAGGGAGGTGTTCTGATTTTTCCTGCCTACTTTTAATGTGATCAGTTGCTAAACAAACATCAAATTTGGAATCATTTAAGACTTCTGAAACCAATAATATTGGCACTTTTAGTCTTTTTCCAACGTCAGGGCCATTTTTAAGGTGTGGTTCTTATTTGAAAGCAAAGCAGTTTTTAAACATAACAGTGAAATGCCCAAGATAACACAATCAGGCTGGGCACAGTGGCACACGCTGATGTGAAGGCAGTCTGGGTTTGAACTTGCGATCCTCCTGCCTCAGCCTCCCAAGCCACTTGGGATGACAGGTGTGGGATGACAAGTGAGGGCCACAGGCCAGGCAAGACTTGTTCTTTTTAATTTCAGCTAATAAAGTTCATGCTAAAAAAAATGTATTTTAAATATGCAGTAATAACAGAACAGTCCCCTCCCTTGGGCATTGTTTGAAATATCATGTCAGTGGGCAGGGGAGGGCACAAAGATGTACATGTATTAAGATTCTGGGAAGGGTCAAGAGTAAAGATGTGACATCAATCAGCCGGTGGCCAGAGTGGCCAGGTGGAGGGTGGATTTCCCAGCTTGCTTCCTCCTTGGATTACTAGTGAGGCCTGCTGCTCCATTGTTGGCTCCCTGTGGCTCTTCCCTGTGAAATGTGAGTACACTGGTCCCTTCTGTTAGAATGTGATGTCCTCTCTCCTGTTAGAAAGCAGGTGTGTCTTCCCCACGTCAGTCAGCTCTTTATAAGCCAGAATTACTGTTCCTTTGTGACACAGCTTTTGTTTCTTCCGGCTTTCCCAGGGCCAAGTTTGCAGTTCCTATGTTGAGGAGGCTCCTTTTCCTGCTGTTATTTCACCCGTGACGCTTAGGACCTGAAGGTGCATCTCCTATTTACCCGTTCCCCCTGGATTTCTTAGTGTTTCTTTCTCTTGCAGTTGGACTCTAATTCATCTGGAATGACTCTGAGGAATGGTATCAGATGTGAGTGGAACTTGACTTTTCCCAAGCGGCCGATATTATTTCCATTATAGTTATGGATTGGAATTCCCTCCCCAATCGATTCGGGACGCTCTTTTTACACATGAGAAGGTTTCACATCTTCATGTTTTCGCTCTCTGGGCCATTCTGGGGGAATTCCTTCGTTTGTCTCTTCTTGAACCAACATACTGAGACTTTAGCTCTTCATGTCTGATACAGCAAGTTCTCTGTTATCATCCCCCCCCCCCTTTTTAAGCCTTAGTTATTGTGAACAATTTGTTCAGGCAGACAAAATTCAGAATTTGGACACACTTTTCCCAGATCATATGCAATTCTGCTTGGTACTGATTTGCTCAGTGTCCCCACACAAGTTTGTGGTGTATCTCGAGTTTTCTTCATATAGCTCCTGCCTGAATTGTTAGAAATATTATTTCTAATAAATTTATTGTAAGTACTGCAAAGCATCCCCCTCACCAGGCCTGCAGAGACCACTGTTGATTATGGTTGGTATAACAGAAAGCAGGGGATTCTGTTTGCTACTTTTTGTATATATTGCTACTTGCGAAACCCTATTAAAATTCTGAGAAGGTTTTACAGGAGGGCTTTGGGTTTTCCAGATGGGTCACTTGCAAAAAATGATGCCTCTGCCTCCTACACTTCCAGGTGATCTTCTGCATTGCCCAGGTGTGGCACAGGAACTCCTGGGGGCAGCTCTGGGATAAGGCATTCTTAATTTGAGGGACAAGCTTCTGGGTTCCAGAGGTAGGTTCTCTTGTTGCTGCTCATCTGAAATATTTTTTAAAACGTTGTTCAGAAAATGCCAGAACTAAACCCAACTCCTGTTCTTTCTTTTTTAAAGAAAAGAGTGGATGCCTCGGCTGCAGGGCGGCCTGGACAGGGTGGGTGCTCTTGTGGGCAAACCCTTCTGTACAACTTGATTCTTGACGTTGCATGACTTACTCTGGTTTTGCTTAAAACACCAACAGCAAGAGACAGTGCTCGGGGTTGGGGATTTAGCTCAGTGGCAGAGCGCTTGCCTAGCATGCGCAAGGCCCTGGGTTCGGTCCTCAGCCCTGTAAAAAACAACTAAAAAAGTATAAAAAAAAAAAAAAGGATTAAAAAGACCAAAAAAAAACAAGGTAACAGCACACACACAACCTTTTCTTCCTCATCTCCACATCACTCTTGCATTTCGGGAGGGGCAACGTTTATGACATCCTTTTTTGGGCACCGCAGCACCCATCACCCCTGGCCGGGGCTGTAGCGGTGGCACCTGCCAGCCTCGCCCGCGACCCGAGCCTCCGGCCCGGGCAGCCTGGGGAGTCGGTTCTGTGACAACTCCTCGGGTGTCTCTCCGAGCCACACTGGCCAACTCGGTCCCATCTACTCATTTTTTTTAAAAACAATGCAGACGTGTCCGGTTTCCCCCACGTGCGGCCAAGTGGACGCTTCCGGCGGGAACCGACTGACCCACTGCGGAGCAACGAGGAAGGCGAGGGGGACCTTGGACTGAGCCTCGTCCAGGCTCGCCCCGCCCTCCCGCCGCGCGTGCGTCCTGAACCCTTTTGGGCCCTTTCGCGTGCCGTCCCTACCCAGCCTGCTCCGCGCGGCCGTCCCCGGAAGTGGGCTCGGCGTCCTCGGAAGTGGTGTGTTGCTGCCAGGGCCTCGCGGCGCCGTGAGCAAGGAGCGCCAGTGGCGATGGCCGGGAGGCAGGACATGTTCGACGCCATCGTGATGGCGGATGAGAGGTGAGGGGCACGGCCGGGACCGCGGACGGTGGCTGCCCGCGCCCGAGTGGGCAGCGGTGTCGCGCGAGGGGACCCGGCCGAGCGCCTCGCCGGCCGCCTGCTTCCGGAAGGAGCTGCTGAGCGGCTCCCGAGCGCCCGTCCCGGCGGCGCCGCGGCCCGGTCCGCGTCCCCGAGACGTGGATGCCGGGGTCGGGAAACCGTGGAGCCGGCGGCGTGGCCGGCGAGGGCGGCGGGAGGCTCCGGCCTTGCTGCGGGCCGTCCCTCTCGGGCGGTCCTCTCCCGCGTCCGCCCTGACCGAGGGGGTAGCTTCGCGGGAGAGGGCTGCGGCCGCGGCGGGAACCGGCGGTTGGCCTGGGCTTCGGGCCTCTGCTGCTCGAGCCTGCTCGGCCTGGGCGGGCTGTGGGTGGCACCGAGAGCGAGGGTCCCCCGAAGCACCTCCCTTGGTTTATCGCTGCCTCGCCTCCTCCATCAGATTCCACGGGGAAGGCTATCAGGAAGGCTACGAAGACGGCAGCAGTTTGGGTCGGATTGAAGGAAGACAGCATGGCGCGCTGCGTGGAGCCAAAATTGGGTCTGAGGTCAGTGGGAGCCTCCGCTCACATGGACGCTTTTCCAGTTTGTAATGTACTCGGATGCTCCGTGTGTTGAGTGGGACACCAAGCTCTGAAGGCCCAAGCCTTGCGTGGGCCTTTCCAGGCCGCCCAGGTCCCTGCGGGAAGTGTTCTTGGGACCCATGGCCGGAGCACGTTGCTGTCTGGAGACCATTAAGTTATGTGGCTGGAGGATGAGAAGCCGTTGGTTGCCTCCACTTGCATTGGAGGCAGGACGCTGTGTTCAGCCACCTGGGTCCTCTCCCAGAGACCGAGCGCCTGTGTTTGTATTGGGATGCCACAGAACTGCGTTCTTACCTATAAGAGGTTGGCCCTCTTACAGGTAACTGGCCCTGAGTGCAGAGTCTGAGGCAAGGCAGTGAGGACAGCATTCCCTGCGTACCTCTTGCTGAGGTCAGGATGTCTCTCAGCAGCAGTGGGGTCTCCTGAGGCTATGCCCAGATGTCATCCCCAGCTTCAGTCTCATCTGAAGGCTTGGCTAGGGCTGGAGGATCCACCCTGAAGGTGGCACACTTACATGACAGTGGGCATGGACCTCTCCACAAAACCCCTCAGGTCCTCCTGGCACTGAAGGGCAAGTGGTCCAAGAAAGCAACACAGGAGTCCCCGTCTCTCTATCCTCAGAATCACACCCTCTCTTTGCCTGCATGTTCTGTGATTGTACAGGCCTCCCTGTGGTCAGGGGAACTGCTCAGGGTGTGAACACAGGGGAGGAATGAGGGCTGGCTGCCCCACTGATTAGCTGCCTAGTTGCCACTGCCCATGCTCCGTGGGTCTTTCCAAAACACTAGCAGAAGCACAGCTGCCTCCACCCCTCCTTGTGTCTAGGAATTTGGTAATTAGATTCAGTGTAGCCAGCTCTTATTAATTTTACTCTCCAACGTCTTTAAAATACAGATTGGGTGCTATCAAGGCTTTGCTTTTGCGTGGAAGCATCTCCTACACAGTGATGCCAGCGAGAGAGACAGGTGAGCTCTGAGCGTCCTTTCCTTTTTTCCAGGAGGGGTGCTGAGTTCACTAACAGTGACCTTGGGCATTAGTTTTCCATTTTTCTCATCTGTTAAGTGGAGAAAATAATAATGTCAAACTTAAATGCTGTTAGATTTAAAGGAAATAATAAAGACAAAATGTTGGGCACATTGTAGTCATTTGATGAACACTGGTAGTTTTCAATTCCCTAAAAAGTTCCTTTCCCAGCCATTCCCCTGGAATCACCAGTGCACCAAGTGCTGTGGACACCAAGACAGTAAAGTGATGTTAAAATTTGTACTTCTCACTCCTGAGCTTCTGATAAACAGATCACCGTCGTCTCAGTGTGACTGGGGCTCAGAAGTGCCCACTCCATGGTCCCCAGTTTAGTATGACCTACCCAGGTGCGTTTGGCTGTGGTAAACTCATTTCTGACACCAGGAGGTGCTGCTGTTATTATCTGAATGGGTTCAGCCTCGCTGCGTCTGCCTGCCCGAGCCCCTTGTGAGCCTCTCACCTGTCCTCTTTCTCAGGTTGGAAACAGCCCTCCAGTGAAAGAAAGGCACGTGGCTCTCAGGGGTGAGAGAAAGCAGACTTAAGCTTGAACTCTGCATCGTCTGACACCTCGTGTCCTGGCCCTTGTAGGTGGCATCCCTATTCATGCAGCTTGTCCTTTTATTTGAAATATCTTGAGTTTTTAGAGCCCAGGCCATACCCATATTCAGAAGTCACAACAAAGGTGCTGTGCCTGAGTGGTTCTGGGGTTGCCTGCGTCTGACTTGTCCCAGTCCCTTGCCTGCTCCACTTGTCTGAGCAGGTGATACTTGTGCAGAGGCTTAGGATAGCTGCTTCTCCCAGCCACAGGGCAGCTGTGGCAGCCTGTGTTGCCACCAGGTGGCGCCCAGAGCTATGCTTTCCACTCAGGGGCCCAGAGGATGAGGAGAGGGAGGGCACCAACTTGAGCTCCTTGGCCAGCTCACTCTCCCCACTTCTAAAGTCTGGCTTTCCTAACTCCTCAGAGCAGCCCACCCAGTCTGTCCAAAAGAAGACAACCTGCTGCCGCTGATGCCAGGCTGGTGGGAACCCTGCCAGCCACCACACATGCAGCCTGGGGTCGCTGAACCCAGAGCCTTGTCTTCACAGGTGTTGGGTTTATAAGTCAGTGCAAAGGGCTGGGCATGCAGCTCAGTGTGTAGAGCGTTTGCCCAACCTGCACAAGGCCCTGGGTTCCCTCCCCAGCAACACACACACACACACACGTCAGTGCACATATTTTCTTCTCTTTCTGGTGCTGGGGATGGAACCCAGGGCCTTGTGCACACCAAGCAAGTGCTCTGCCACTGAGCTACGCCTGCAGCCCAGTATGTTTTTTAAAGTGAGAAAGGGCTGCTAGGTGACATTCGACTGCAAGGATGTGAAAGGGCAAAGACTGTTGTCTGCATGGCCCACGTGAAGGAGCGGTAGCTCAGTGCCTGGGAGGTGTGGAGAGGTGGCCCTCAGTCCTGGCATTGGCGCTTGGTCACTCCAAGATGCTGCTGTTCCCTTCTTAATAGCTGGCGACCCCTGCCACAGCGGTGCTGGCAGGACTGCCCACACCTGTAAATGTGTGCCTACCTGAGCTGCCCGCCAGGTGTGTCTGCAGGTGCTCCCTGAGCAGGGAAGAGGTCACCACCTGCAGAGGGGACGTGGGTGGGATTCTCCCACCCAGAATGCCCCCAACCTCATCTTAGCACCTTCCTCCAGTCTCTGGGAAGCCGGGGCTTGACTGCCTTGCATTGGACTTTCATGGTCTGGCATTTTCCAGGCAAGGTGGTCCTTAGGCGCTGGCTTGCCCTTGGTGAGTGTGCTCATCTGCACCTCTGTGAATACCAGCTCTCGGCCAGCGTGTGGGACCTGGGCTGCTCTGAATGCCATTGCGTGTGTATCCGGCATGCTTCTGTCCTCTGGGACAGGTGGCCCCGAGCAGGGTCATCCTAAGAGTCCCTGTCCCTTGGAAAGCCCTGGGCCCCACCTGGATGTGCATTGAGTGATCTTTAAACTGCCCCAGGGGAGCTGTGGTCCCAGGGTCACTGGAATCGAGGACACTCATATGACCGTGCACGTCCTCTGTCCTACAGTCACACGAATGAGCTAACACTTGTAACCCATGAGCTGTTGTCACTCCCCGTTTTGCAGATAGGACAGCAAGGTTGAAAGATGGGGGTGTCTAAGTGTCTTGGATCAGGGCCTCTCTTTTCTGCCGCGTCCTGTCTCCTTCCCTGGAGAGGCGGCTGGGCGCAGGAATGGCCTGCCCAGCTCTGGCAGGGACGCAGGCACGTCCAGAGGTGGCTGGGTGGAGGTGGCCTGCCCAGCTCTGGCAGGGACGCAGGCACATCGACAGTTGGGACCCTGCTGTCAAGGCGCTGGGTGTGAGTGACAGCCACGTTGGTAGGTAAACCAGCGTGATTTGATGTAATGAGGAAATCCATTTTCTGCCCTAAGCCTGAGCCTTCTCAGCAGGCTTGCTTCTGAGCAGGTGACGGTGTGGCCACTGCACATGTTGGCCTTCTGTGTCCCAAGGATCTGAAGGTCTGCTTCTGTGCTTTCAGCAGGAAGATGAAGGTCTTGGAGTCACTGATGGGAATGATTGAGAAGTTCCCCTACGATGACCCTGCTTACGACAAGCTCCACGAAGACCTGGACAGGATCCGAGGGAAGTTTAGGCAGGTCTGTTCCCTGTGTGCCTGTCCTCGGTGAGCTGGCACAGGCCCTGGGGTTCACTCGGTGGTCTTAGGTCTCGTGCACCCCCATGTGTGCTGTGCGAGTCATTGGAGAGGAGCATT